CCACCGGTCATTCCCCAGCTTGCGTCTCTCCTCGGTGCCTTTGCACCGCTGTCTGTGCTCGGAACCATTGTTCGTCCGCTGCATGCTCACAACTCTACCGTTTGCTTTTGTTTAAAATGTTTGTGTATCTTGAGAGAGAAAGCTTGTGTGAGAGCAGGGAGGAATAGGGGCAGAGAGACGGAGGGAGAGAATCCCAAGCGGGTTCCATAAAGAATTGTCACGGTAGAGCCCAATGCAGGCTCAGCCCCACGAACTGTGAGGACGACCTGAGACGCAATTAAGATTTGGACCTTAACCCACTCAGCCACCCAGGTGCCCTACTGACTTTTTGTTTTTACTTGAGGTCATCTTCACACATACACATACATACATACTACTAAAATTAATTTTTAAATTGCCCACTTAGTGGTGTTGGAGTGTTTACTTGGGTTGTGCAGGCAGCCTCACCTCCCCTCTGGTTCTAGAACATCCCCTAAAAGGAAACTTCATAATCAGGGAAGTCTCTCTCCCAGCTCCCTGGCAGCCACTAATTGGCTTGTCTCTATGGATTGTCTGTTCTTGGACATTTACGTAAGTGAAATCATACAACATGTGGTCTTTGATGCCCGGTTTTTCACATACACACGCTTAAGATTCATCCAGGTTCATATGGACAAATAATATTTCACAGGCTGGATGGGGCCACATGCGTTGACCATCGACCAGTTAACATTGGAGTTATTTACCCTGTTTAGCTATTGTGATAGTGCTGTCACGTCAACATTTGTACAAGTCTTTGTGTATATGCTTTTAATTGGGGTATAAACCAAAGTGTGGAAATACTAGGTCATATGGCAACTGTTCCATATTTTGAGGGACTGCCAGATCAGAGCTTTTTCAAAGTGACTGCACCATTTTTATGGTCTCGCCAGCAACTGTGTGTAAGAGTTCCAATTTCCCATGTCCTTGCTAGCACTTTTGGGAAATATGTCTATTTCAGACAAAACACGGCAACAAACGGATTCATGTTGTTCTCCAACCAACCCGTTTGTTCATAGTTTTGCTCCACCAGGCATCTAATCTGCACTGAACTGGGGACTCAACTCTGATTCTTTTCCTCAGACTCCCTTGGCCCATCCATTAGAAAGGATCATTAAAAATTAAAAAAAAAAAAAAAGAAGAAGTTAGATGAAGAAGGACATTATTTGAAAGTTTTCATACTTAGAATAATTAAGGATGAAGTTTATTTTCGCTGAAAACATCCATCCTGAGGTCAGATCTGCATTGCAAACTTAACAGTGGGGCTATTTGAGGCTAACCATCCATCCAAAGTTAAAGAACCATTTGCTTCCTTGAATTTTAAGTAGATCTTTAAAAGTACATATACTGGCGCCAGGTTTCAGTCGTTGAGCATCCAACTTCAGTCTGTCACATCTCACGGCTCAGAGTTCGGTCAGGTCATGATTCATCTCACGGTTCAGAGCCTGAAGTCTTCAAGTGTCAGGTTTCAGGTATCAATACTCACTGAGAGCTCAGAGCCTGGAGTTTGCTTCGATTCTGTGTTCTCCCTTCTCTCTCTGACTCTTCCTGTTCATGTTTGTCTCTGCTCCTCAAAATAATAAACATTTTAAAAAAATAAAAAATAAAAATGATATGAGAGAAGGAAAGGAAGGAAGGAAGGAAGGAAGGAAGGAAGGAAGGAAGGAAGGAAGGAAGGATCGATCGAGCCTTGCCTCCAAGACAGACCAAACCCGTTCAAACCCAGCCAGCAATTTCTCTAACCCACTAAACTGGCTCCCTGGCTGGCCTCCCTACTCCCACCCCATCCCTCCACAATCCCTTTATGTCATAGCCAAAGTGATCTTTAAAAACATACCCCAGGCCTCTCCCACTAAGCCCTTCAGAGGTGATATCTGCTATGGGATGTGGCCCTTCCCTTCCTGGTCTCACTCCAGTCTGCATGCCTGGTCTGCCTCCAGTCACGCCTGCCTTCTGCTGTCTCAAGAAATACACTTTTTAGAAAGATATTTGGCGACTTTGTTTTCTATGGTTAAGCCAGCCCTTGGCCCTAGGCCTTTGATCCATTTTTTTTTTTTTTCTAACGTTTATTTATTATTGAGAGACACAGAGAGAGATAGAGCATGAGCATGGAGGGGCGGGCAGGGAAAGGAGGGGAGACACAGGATTCAGGTGGTAGGCTCCAGGCTCCCAGCTGTCAGCACAGAGCTCATGTGAGGCTCGAACTCACAAACCGCCAGATACCGGGTGACTGAGTCAAGTCGGGATTAACCTAATTGAGCAAAGCACCTTGCAGCCCCCTGATTCATTTTTTTTTAAAGTGATCCCTTACACCCAACGTAGGGGCTCAAACCTACAACCCCGAGATCAAGAGTTGCATGCTCATTGACTGAGCCAGCCAAGCCGCTTCCATCCATTTTAATTTGTATATCGTGAGCGGATCTGTGTTTGTTTTCCAGTGCAGATGTAACAAATTACCGCAAGCTTACTGGCTTAAAAATGACAACACCAATTTATCATCTTCTAGTTTGAAGGTCGAAGTCGAAATGGAGCTCACTTCTTCGATCAAAATCAAGCGTATCATTCTGTGGTTTGCCTTCCCCCTCTAGTGGTTGAAAGCGAAACCCAATTTGCGTGCCTTCTCTAGCTTTTTTAGATGCCACCCACATTTTTTTGTCTATTGCCCCTTCTTCCGTCTTCTACAAGCCAGCAACAGTGGGTGGCTGAGCCATGCTGGTTCCCCCTCTGGTTCTTCCTCATCCCCTCCTTCCATTTACGCAGGACCCCAGGATTACATGGGGCCCATCCAGTGGGCCATCTATTTTAAGGGACAGCTGATTTGGTAACCAATTCCATCTGCAAAACTACCACATACCACTCAATTATTTCCTGCCAAGTAACTCCATAACGTTATTGTTCACGGGTTCTGGGATGATGGTAGACACCTCCTCCCTTGCCAGAGCAGGGTAGGTGGGGGGTGGGGGGTGCCCACCGTTCTGCCATTATAGGGTCTAACTTCACTTTGCATGTGACTATCCAGTTGTGCCATTTGTTGAAAAGACCATTTTTGCCCATTGAATGATCCCTTGGCACTTGTTTGTAAAGATCCACTGACCATGGATGTATGGGGTTTATATCTGCATTGTTGTGTTCTAATACATTGATAGCTCTCCCCAGGTGCTAACACCACAAGGTCTGGATCACTTAGTTTCCGTGTAAGGCCAGCAAGTTTGGAATCAGGGTACAACCTCCAATCTCGCTTTTTCCACATATTATTGTGGCTACTTGGGCCTCCTACGCATAATTCCATATGCATTTTAGATCAAATATAAATTTCTACCCAAAAAAAAAAAGAAGTCTTCGAAGTTTTCAGCAACTGTTGAATCTGTAGACGCATCTTTCTGGAGTACTGACATCGTAACGCTTATTCAATTCCTTCCAACTACGAAGGGCAACAGAAGATGCTCCTCCCATTTACTTAGATCATCTTAAATCATTTTTTTAATGGCATTGTAGTTTCAGTGCACAAGTTTTATGTATTCTTTCATTAAGTTCATTACTTTTCAGTATCTATTCTTTTTGGTGCTTTGTAAATAATGACTGTTTTCTTAACTTATTACTGATTTTAAAGACGCACTGGCTCCATGCAAGTCCATGGCACTTACCACAGGTTCTGAATTCTCTGACCCGATAAGGCCAATAGGGTCTTTCACTGTAGGTTCTTCCCTGCTTCCAGTTCTTCCCCTGCCCATGCTATTCTGAATAATGTCTTTTTTCATCAGCTGGGCTAAGACCCATTGTCTCCCCCATCTTAGGAGCTCCTCCAGCCAAGAGCTTGTGGGGGTAGGCCTTCTTCTTTCAGGGTCCTTCACAAACGCTAGAGCATTTTCAGAAGCAATTCAACAAGAATGTTTAAAAGCAATTCTGCAACAAGCATAGTTCAGGGGGCTTTGGACACGAGAGGCGATGAATAAATGCATTCTGCTCCTCATGTTGTTTGTACTTTAATGAGAGTGAAGACAACAACAACAATGAGCAACGAGATCAGTATGTTAGAAGGTTCAGGAAAACTTCCACTTCCCTAGGTCCACCAAACGCCATGCCCTCCTCCAGGAAATTTATCTTCTCCTTCCATCTCCACCCTGCTTACCACTCCTCCTCCTTTGGGGTTCCTCCCCCAGATGGGGTCTCTGACCGCCCTGACAACACCGGGTGAGGGGGTTGAGATCAACTGCACCGGTTCCTGCTCACCCGGCCCAGCAAAGAGCCAGGCACAGCGTGCAAAGAATCATCATGAGCCCCTCGGCTCCACCGCGTGGGACGAGCCGCGACCTCCCCACCTGCGGAGTGCGCATGTCAGCCGCAGGCGGCCGCCCGGCAGGCCGATAGCGGTGCGGTGCCGGGCCAGCCTTCGCGCAGGCGCGCTGGCGGGCGCTGCCTGGCCGGGCGCTTCCTGCCCCCGCGCCGTCGCTATGGCCGCGCCGCCTGGCCTCATCTCGTCTTCGAGTCCGCAGGAGTTGCTGGGCGCGTCGCTATAACCCCTGGTGGCGCAGCGGGTGGCAGGTAAGCTGCAAGATCTGGAGTGGTCTGCGCCCGCTTCTCTCATGCGCCTGGCCTTCCTTGTCGGCGCAGCAGCTCCCTGGGTCTCCCCCGATGCTGCTGGTCTGTGAGGCTGCCCGTGCCAGCCGCCGGGCTCCCCGCCGACCCCTGCTGCCAGGCCCGCGCGCTGGATCAGGCTTTCATGACGAGCGCTCAGGCCCCCCTGAGCACGCCAGCCGAGAGCACGCGCGGCTGGTTCCCCTCTATCGGTGAGAACTACGGGGCTCGCTGCCGGGGTCATGCCTGCCGAGGACCGCGCCCGCCCTGCCTCCGAACCCGGATTACGGGGCCGGTCGCCGTGGGTCATTTCAAGAAGGTCAGGCGTGCCCACCCCGAACAACCAGCTAGCTGTATCAATACGGAGGTGGTCACACTGTCCCCTGCCACTGTCTGGGAGGAGGGAAACTGCTCGGGACCAACTCCTCCCACCCTCCACTGCCACACCGAGGTCTGTGGGGGCTCATTCATCTATAATGCTTTTATCCTGTGGTCGTGGGCAAAGGCTTGAGGTGAACAGAGTGAGTGGTCCACCCAAAAAGTGCCAGGACCCAGAGAAATTCAGGCGCACACACAGCCTGGCAACCTGGGTAAAAGGGCAGAGGTAGGGAAGGCAAATAATAGGCAGGAGGTGGCATCTGGTGGAGCTTGGGTTTCTGCTGGTTTTCTCATCTCCAGCCTGATCGCAAAATTTTTTTGATGTACCCTCGAGCTACCCGAGCTGGCTGGTGCTGATCACCTGCAGGTGGTTATGCTCGCTTCAGGTCTTCAGATCCTATAGAACTGGGAAATGATTGGAGGGAATGGCTGTTCGCCCCAGTGGGTTCCCCAGGCCAGCCTGAGTTTTCCTCCCTGCTCCTATGGTGGAAAATCCCCGCCCAGGGAGGTGGAAGGGAGGAGGAAAGGAAAGCAAAAAGTGGTAATAGAAGCTTGGTCCCTCAGGTCCTGGCAGGCATGTGTTTCTTTTTTGTAATTAAAAAAATTTTTTTTCAACGGGAGCTTTTTTATTTATTTATGGGACAGAGACAGAGCATGAACAGAACGGGGGAGGGGACAGAGGAGAGGTGGAGACATTGCAGAATCGGAAACAGTTAAGCTCCAGGCTCTGTTATCAAACCAGGTGAGCTCCTCAGAGGGTGGCTCGAGGAACTCACGTTTTTTCTGTTTTAGGACCGTGTGAGATCGTGTGCATCTGGAGCAAGCTTCATTGAAGTCGGATCGGACGCTTAACCGACTGCGCCACCCAGGCGCCCCATGTTTCCCCCTCTTTAGGTAGAAGCTGGAGCTGATGATTTTCTGTTGTCGTTGTTTTGTCACAAGAAGGAAGGCTTACTGATTACCAAACATTTTAGCCACATCAGCTCACGAAATTGCACGATAACCTATGAGGCGGGGGCTGTTAGTTCCTCCATTTCATAGGTGGAGAAACTGGACCAAGAAGGGGAGGGGAGCTTATGTGCCAGGCTAGTAGGGAAGCCAGAGTTTGAAGGGACGCCCCGGATAGCACTTGGGACACGTCTCAGGGGCGGGGGCCTCCCTGTGGGTCTTTTTCAAGAGTTTAATTAAAAAGCGGGCTCATGTTTCTTCATTTTAGTCTGCATAAATTTGAAGAACTTTACTTTTTTTTTTTTTTTTTTTAAGTTTATTTATTTTGAGAAGGGGGAGGAGGGGCAGAGAGAGAGGGGGAGAGGGAGAGTCCCCAGCGGGGCTGGATCTCACGAACCTTGAGATCGTGACCTGAGCCGAAACCAAGAGCAGGACGCTCAACCAGCTGAGCCACCCAGGCGCCACGCTGGGGACACGATGGGACGCTGGGCCATTCTCTCATGGGGCTCCTAGTGGGCAATCGGGCACTGACAGGGCAGGAAAGTGCAGCGTGGACAAAAGATAATTGTGTGAGATGATAGAAAGAGCCCAGGGATGACCTTTCAGCCAGGATGGTGGGGGCTGGGGGAGCTTTGAGGGTTGATGTTTGAACTGAGGCCTGGAGGTATGAGGACCTGGCCGTGGGCAGAGCTGGGGCAGAGGTTATGGCCAAGGCCTACGCTTTGCCACGGGAGCGAACGTGGGGCCAGGATTTACTCCTTCTAGGGGAGTCACATGAGTTCCCTGGGGCTGCCGTTAACAAAGGACCACAAATCGGGTGGCTTAAAGCAAGGATTTATTTTCTCTGTCCCGGAGAAACCTGAAATCCAGGTGTTGGCGAGGCCACGCTCCCTCCGGACGCTCAAGGGGAGGATCCTTCCTCGCTTCTTCCGTCCTCTGGGGGCTCCGGGTGTTCCCTGGCCTCCAGTCTCTCACCAGTCACTGGATGTAGGGCCCACACCAATCTACTATGAAGTCAGCTAATCACATCTGCAAAGACCTGCTTCCAGATAAGGTCACATTCTGAGGTTCTGGGTGGGCATGAATTTGGGGGGGGGGGGG